GAAATGCAAATGAATCCCTCACTGAACCTAAACCCGAAGTCTCCGGCTTGAGGCGGCTTAGGCTGCTTGCGTTGCGACCTTCCGTGTCGTAACCTCCAAACCTCACTTCTACCCGACCTACCCGACACGAGGACCCGAACACAACGGACCCCATCATATCAGGGCTCTTCATTCTGTCAGCGTTCCTCCACGCCTCTCCGAATTCAAGCTATTTAATCTAAATGCAGCCATAAAGTGGCCAATAATTAGCAGACTTAGTCGAGGAGCAGTGGCTCCTCACTGCACCCCTCAAAGCCAAGTGGAAAGCTTCCCCGGACCAGCGCGCGGTACCGCTTCTTCACGAGTCCCTTGGGCTTCGCGCGAGGTGTACATTCGAAACTGCTCGGGTTCTTTCTGGAGATTTCAGGGAAGAGGAAATGTTAATGTCCGTTTCCTGATGCTGTCTGCTCCTAGGAAATCTGTGCTCGCCCCCGATGCAACGCCGTTGGGCCATCCTCGTTCAAGCAGAGGCGAGCCTAAACTCCCTGGGACTGCTACGCTCGTTATTTTCCAGCAATTGCACTACCCTAATGCCGTGTGCATCATGAGCTCAGTTCAGCCTGAAGCCAAACGCGAAACAGCCCCAACGACAATGAAAGGCTTGATACCGGTAAGCTTCTGGAAATCGCGCACACGAGCTAATCAGAACTGCGACCCACCACCCCGGACTTTCAAACTCCAATTCCCAGCTTTGTTTGCCGCTCCCGTCCTCCGCAAACGTCGCACTGAGGATCCGGAGAGCACTGCGGGTTTTCCTTGGGTTATAACCAGGTATAACTATCGATTGCACACAACTCTGCACCCGGGATGGACTGTGCCAGTGCGTCTGTTCCCGCCTGCGCACTATTCGCATGTCGTTGCTTATTTCCGCACATGTTTCTTGCAAACATACATCCATCCATCCATCCATCCATGCATCCATCCATGCATCCATCCCCATCCATCCCCATCCATCCCCATCCATCCCCATCCGACCCCATCCATCCACATCCATCCACATCCATCCACATCCATCCACATCCACGTCCACGCATCCACCCATCCACACATCCATCCATCCATCCATCCACCCACCCGGCCGTCCGTCCGTCCATCCAGCCATCCGTCCGTCCGTCGATCCATCCATCCGTCCATGCTTACATATACACATATGCATATGCATATACATCTACATCCACATATACATATAACTTACATATACAATCATATACATATACATATACATATACATACATATATGTGGAGGTATGTATATAGTTATGTGTATGTGTATCCATCTATCTGACTATCTACCTCTGTCTATGTATATATATATATATAAACATGTATATATATATATATATATGTATATGTATATGTATATGTATATGTATGTGTATATATATATGTATGTGCGTATGTGTATGCTTTGCGCACCAAGCATTAGTGGAGCTCACTTCCTGCCAGTGAACATAGACATAATGCAACCGTGACATAAGCCGAACACAAACAAGAGTTTTTTATCACAGCATCATACATACGTGCATGCATACACACATACATAAATATACATGTATATATCATATGTATGTATATATATACACATATATTCAGCTATAAAGATATATAGATATGTAGATGTATAGACACATAAATACCTAGAAACATATATATATATATATATATGAATCTACATGATAGTGATAAACAGAGATAATTATAGATGTATATCTATAAATATAAATATATATATATATATATATATATACATATACAACTATGTACTATAGACTTATAATGCAGGTATGTAGATATGAATTTAATAAAGGTATATAAGCTTTATAGATATATTCACTAGCTTTGCGCACAAGCAGTACAATGCCAACAACAATTTCTTTCCGTACCAGTTTCGAATTGGTAAAGCCCTCGCCACATCCCACGGCAGTAAGAGCAAAAGACCGGCGTGCCAGCATTTGCGAATTGGAGCCACACTAGCCGATCATGGCTCGCTGCAAAGAAGTGACGCCAGGACCAGCAACCCCCCGGTAGCTGCATCCAGGCGGTGGACTGGCGTTGCCTGTCATGCGCGCATTCGTGTCTCGTTGGAATCCCGATAAACTTACAAGCTGTCGAGTTGCGTTGTTGCAACAGGCTCCGCAGCCGAAGCAATGGCTACTGACCAAAAGATTACAAGAATTCGTCTTCGAATTTCGATATCACTCTCGGTATTTACAAAGTTTAGTTTTGGTTTGGACTCTTGGACCATGGAGCTGAAGCCAATGTTGCTGGCCTGGCCCAGCGAGTCAGATGCTGGGCTTCGCGAAAGCTGTCCCAGTAACCAGGAAGCTTTGTCAAAGCTGCCTGCTGCAGGAAGGACAGGATCTCTCTCAAATGAGCACTGTTTTCAGAGTCTCCCGGTGTGGAAGATCTGAGCGTGAAGGTTTTCACACGTAACGATCCACTCACTGCTGCTGCTGTGTCTGTGCATCTTTGTGCCGTGTGCCGTTGTGTCTGCCTGTAGCGTGCTTGCAACCTCGGTCATTCGTCAGATCGATGCTGCGCTTGACACTGTGCAAGCGAGTATAAGCGAGTGATCCGGGGCCCGCCCGACCCTTCACGTCGGCCTTTGCCAAACGTAGGCACCCGTTGAGGCTTGACCACCTGCAGGAAGGTTTCTTTGGAACACCTGGAACACGGGTTTGCCAGCTGCGATGAGCCTTAGATTTTCCGTACGTCATGTTACCGTGCTTTGACTTCTTTCACTTCGTCCTCTTGGACATGCAGTTTTGGCAGCACAATCACGCTGAGCTCAAAGCCTGTGCACATCCACATCCCTACTCAGTCGGTGGACTGCCCACGGCACTGTGGATGGGAGCAAATGAAACGAAAGACAAAAACCAGTGATACTCAGCTACACTTTACATCCCTGGACATGCAGTAGGCCGCCTGATTTGCAGAGCATATCTTCACACCCACACAGCATCGTCACATATTTGAGACAGCTTTGGGAACTTTAAGCGCTCCAGGCAGTCTTATGGCCAGAGTCACTTTTAAAGCAACTGGGGAATCGGGATATACTGGGATGTTAGCAACCTCGGATCTAAGCTTCGGGCTACGGCGAGCCAGTCGTCTTCAAAGGCCACCTGGAGCCTCAGGGTGCCACGGACATTCCTGGGGTAGTTTACCAGCAACGCTTACACCAATCTAGCAGCTAGCCCAGCTAGCCCCGGCACTGCAAGTTATTCCCTTGCTGGCTTCTATACCGTCTACGACTGCAACACGACTTGGTGATATCTCGTGTGTCACAGTACGAATTCGTATGGTAGTAGTGGAGGACAGGGATGTGGGAGCCAACTCCTGTGATAGCCCTATGACCCCGGGCTGGCTCGTAAGCTTTATGGCATCCTTCTCGGCGAGACGTGTTTTGAAAGGACCCCGGGGTTAGGTAACGGATGGTCCCTACGATATTCTCCAGCTCAATTTAAGCCAACGGTTGGTCCTGCTCTTTAGGTATGTCCAGGTGTTCAAACTCGAACACAGGCTAGAACCGAGCATCTCTGGCAACCCTCCCACCTCCAGCCCAGGAATGGTTGACTCAGGCTCTGCAGAGCATGCGGGTCCTCATGGCCCCGCTGAATTGCATCTGCACGAGAATGCCGGTTTGCCGCATGGTCCTGACCCTCATCTACCTCCCGAAACTCAATCAAAAGGAATGCATCCCCCAACTCTTTGCCTCACAGGCTCACCGAGCAAAAAACAAGTTAAGCAGTCATTGGGTTAAGGATTCCATCATGGCGAAAAACTCCTTCTCATGTAGGTCCGAGTTTGTCATGGAAAGGGCTCAGTCTGCATGCGCACTGCATTAACAACAACTCCTCTGCGTGCTTCGTAGTGATGTGGGACTGCAAGTCTTGGTAGATCTTGAACTTGCGCTTGCAGAAGCTGCAAACCACCTGCTGCTGCTGAGGACAACGCCGCTTGAAGAATCTTGCAGGCAAAAGGAAGCCCTTCAAAACGAATATAGAGCTATGGGACAGTCGGAAGATATCTAGCCAGCAGAACTTCGAAGGCAGTTTCTTCCCTCGACAGTGCCGCTCAGGTCCTCTCCACGAAGTTCACTGCCGATCATTTTGTCTGAAAAGCTTCGTCCCTCTAAGCTTGACCGTGACTGCTGAAAACTGGAAATTGAAACGACTTTTCACGAGACCAAGCAAGCTGAACAAGCTTCTGCTTTGGATGTCAGCTTCAGATTTCTTCGGAACCATGTATGTCCACCTTGCAAGAGCGCCTTGGGCGCGTGGGCCTCGACTCGCCGCTGCAGCGCTCGAAAGGCCGACGCAAGCTCGTCACAACTGTGCATGGGCCTTGTGGAGTTCATTTTGCAACCTACAGTAGTTACAGTCTTAGTGTGGTTCTCGAGGCCCTGTGGTGTGGGCTGTTTGCCACGTATTTCCATGCAAGGCGCTCCTGCACAGCTCAGAAAGCAGAGGTGCCTCCAACAAAGCGAACCGTGCCACGGTTGAGGCAACAAGAGGCCTCTGGATTCTATCCAGGCCCCAGGTCCGGTTACAGGTCAGAGACAGTGGGCGGATGGGTAGTTCTCTTGCAGTGATTGCATCATGTTGTTTCCATGCCTTTCCAACAGACACGGAGATGCTTGATGTGGATTGATTTGTGTTGATCATGAACTCGTCAGTCCTGGAGCCCGGAAGCGTGCAAACCACCCTAGGAATCATTTGCAGAAATTCTGGTTCGCTGAAGAAGCAGCCCGAGCTACAAGTACTCGTTTGGTCGCGTGCCATCGGCTTCTTCAAGCCGATTCATGCTATGTGTTAAGATGACTTGCATTGGTAGCGCTGAGTTGCGAATCTCAGCTCCGGAAGCCCACTCCCATAATCGCCGCTTTTCCGATTCTACATCTTTCTCGACGGGCTGCTGCCGAGACGCAGCAAGCTACCAGCAGCGCTCCCTGCTGCAACCATTGCGCCGAGTCGGAATGTACCCTCGGGAATGGGACATAATATTCCGCGCGAGGCCAATAACCCTGCAGTACCATTAAAGTGCTTACAAGATCTTACAAGTGATCTGGGTGTAGCTATGCCGAGGGCACCCATGATCAACCCTACTTTGTAGCGGCATTGTAGCGTCTACGGGTTCGTGTGCGACACTGCGGGCCCTAAGCAACTATCGGCTGGATGAAACATCATCCCGCTTGTAGCGCTGCATGCATGGCACAGCCGGTGTGGTGTGCTTGTTCCAAATGTGAAAAGATGCAACCGCTTAGGCTCTGAATGTTTTAGAAAAGGTCGGGATGTGCAAAAGGCTGATCTTCGAATCTACTGCTGAGCATGCTTGATCTCTTCAAGTGAAGCCGGCGTGCTCGCACACATGCACACACGCGCCTACGCCTAATCGCAACAACAACCGTCAAACACCCCACACTGAAGAAATTTGCTGTTGAGCATGCCGAAACAACCCGTGCCTGGAAGGGGGCTGCCACGGACCTTGCATGTCGTGGCTCGAAGCTTTCACTATCTTCTCTTCCCAAAATACAAACATACTTCGAATATAACGTCGCGAGGCTCTCAGGGCCTAGCCTAAGACCCCAGGCCGACACGAAGCACGCGGGCTCCGGAACACAGCCCCTCTGGGATTCGTTTGACGCGCTCGCAAGATCGACGCAAAGCCCTCAGAAACTCTGAACTTCAGGTGTTCAACGCAGAATGAACTCGGACCCCAGTTGCTGCAGCGGTTCTTGCTTCGCTTTCGCGGCTATGCCATGATACATCACAATCCGGAAAAGTATTCAAACTTCCCACCCTACACTGCTACGCAACAATGCACGACATCGTAGAATGTAGCTGTGTCTGGCAGGCACACCTGCCAGGATGCCTGCTGAAGTTTATGCTGATCAGGGAAACAGGAAGCTGTATCCCGTCCATAGTCGTGGGGTGCACCAGCAAGTGAAGAAAGCAGCTACAATCTACAAGTAGAAAATGGTTTAGGACTTCGGTTTCGGGTCTGCGTGTAATTGCATCCATTAACGGCCGAATTTACATCAAGACTCAAGACTCTCATTGGTCAAGGCACCAACGTGCTCTTCACGTGCGTCGTGCATACGCCGTCCATACCGGTATTTACGGTGTTTCGTGGACTTTGCAGCCGAAAACGTCGCGCCTCTCGCGTTTTTTCGGGGGGTAGTGGAGGCGCGGGTGCGCAGGCCTCGAAAGCATCGGCATTTAATGTTGACCCCTGATTAATAAACCCCCCCCCCCTCAAGGTTGTCAAGGTCGCAGGCCCCCCACAGGATCACAGACCCCCAAATAATCCCGTGAAGCCAAATTGCAGTAAACAGTGGTGCTAGTAGTAGTAATCGTAGTAGCAGCAGCAGTAGCAGTGGCAGTGGCAGTAGCAGTAGCAGTAGCCCTTGAAAGAACCGCTTGAAAGAGGACAAGACGCCCTTTAAATGTAGTCTTGCCCCCTTTAAAAGTAGTCTTCGAAGCACTTTTTGAAATTTTAGATCCCCAGACGGTGTTGCCTTTAATCGTGGGGGTTTTCTGCAAAAAACGATCCTTATTTGGGTGCTGCCTTTAAAGTAGTACAGATTGGGGCCGGAGCCGCCCGCAGGCCGCCTTTAATCGTAGGGGGATTATTCATCCTAGGTCAACATTACGGTATTCGGCGGAGCTGGTTTGCCGAAAACGTCGCGCCTGGCGTTGTTTCCACATCCCGAGCATCCATGGGCCAACCATGATGCTGTCCAGCTCAGACTCCATCCGTTCCCATGGGCCAACCATGACAACGCCCAGATCAGACCCCATCCGTTCACGAAGAGCATCTATGGGCCAGCCATGATAACGTCCAAATCAGACTCCATCCGTTTACGCAGAGCAGCCATGGCCCCCAAGACTTTCTCAGCCTTGCAAAGGACGAGGCTTGGGTGAAGCTGTGAGTTCCTGGCAGGCAAAACATATGCGAAGCAGGGACTTGCTCAGTGAACGCCTTCACTTAAACGCCTCGATGTGACGAAAACCCGAGCCGCAGTGCGTTTCCGACCAATGTTCATCAAGTTTCGCTGCCTGAAGGTTGTTCGCTTCCCAATGTTCTATAGCTTGAAAGTGCTGCGCCTGCCATGTAAATCTGCTTTACGTGCTACTTGTAGCTACTTCATCCTTCGGACGGCGCGCGTGAACAGCACTTGGAGCGTTGGTCAAGGACGCACCGCTTGCCCTAAACCCTCTATATGGGTATGTATGTACATATATATATATATATGTATACAACGAACCTTCCACGGCAAAAGCGGCACTCTGCTCTTGATAGCTCAGCACGACGCAGTGCGCCTGCCCGCCCCCAAGCTTCGTTGTGGACCCAAGCTCCGAGCCCGAAATGGCTCAGATATGGAGGCAGCATACATCTGCACTAATGCTATACGCATTCTCTGTGAATGCGAGTTCAGTATGAAATCAATATGAAGGACTCGTGATGGACATCGAAACATCTTGAGTCAGGTTGGCCCTCTTCAGACAGGAAACAGCTGGTCCTTTTGTCGATGCTCGTAGAGCTCTGGTTGAAAGCCTTCCGGAGCCTCCACGCAGCTCTCGTTGATACAACAAGTGCAGGCTGCTGAGTCGTTTGAGGCAGGTTGTGCCCACATGCACGATGTGCAAACTCGCGTGATAGCGTAGGAGATGGCTCCACCTCGGCCCGTCTCTCTTGGAGAAGGACGGAACCAGGTAAAGTAGCTGATTGTGTGAAAAACTTTCTGTTTAACGGGTGAATTCACCTCACCGCCTCGGCTTCACAAGACCTTTCCGTAGGCATGAGAGCCGCGCGGATGTCTTGGCACATCCTCAACATTTTCGCGTTCTCCCTGGTGAGCATGACAATGTCCAAAGCGCGCGCCTGGCCTTTCAGCTGCATAAGTCCCTTGCAGAACTCTGCTATTGTGATTTGACCGTCCCCATCATCGAGAATGTCAAAAAGTGGGCGGCAATCTTGGACTCGCACATCTAACATCGTCAAGTAGCCTTAGATGTCTAGTCGGGCCGCAGCCTTTTTCCTCGGACGGCTCATGGACCTGTGTACCTGTTGAAACCGTACAGGCCTGACAACGCGAATGGAAAATGCGTTTCAAAGTTCGGTCTGTGATGCATGTTCCTCACTAGAAGGTTATGCAAACCATGCCTGTCTAATTATATTGACCGAAATACCGTGTTGTCAACACTAAGACCAGTCAGTACCATGCCAATCCGAGCTATTCCAAAGAATTGTACTGAAAAAAGAGCCTTCAGCAACGTTGGACGCCAGGGATGCTAAGCGCATCTACAAACTCGTCCGGCGTCAAGCTCCCATCCCCATCGTTGTCTGCTGCTCGGAACAGCTCCTCAAGCTTGTCCTGGTAGTCTTTTGCCAGCCGCCGGCTGTTTTCCAGCAGCATGTCGGCATCATTGGCCGCATTTGACAACGTCTCTTGCAAAAAAAGCGCAGTTACTATGCGTATAACTGCAAAAACTACAAAAGCTATGTAGCTACAGAACAGTAAAGCGTACCAGGGGTTGACTTTTTCGATGACAGGTCGTACTTTCGAAGGCCACGAGCCGGAGTGCGTAATTTCGAACAAAGTGTAAAAGGCTTTGAGGAAGTTGCCGTAAAGATTGTTCATCTCCAAGCGTGTAGCCATGTCATGGCTGTCGTCCATGATGAAACCTGCCGCCAGCCAACTCTGCAATGCAACGTCTCTTCGGCGATTCGGGTTGAGCTAGGGCACGGCACCAAATGACTGTTATACCTGCCTGTAAAATCTGACAAGCCGTTTCCAACTTCTAGCGGTGGGATTACGTCAGATGTAAAAATGCCACCAGAACCACACACACACACACACACACACACACACACACACGGAGACAATGCCACCAGCAATTCTGAACCGCATCCTTACGGTCACTCACCACATCTGTGTACGGTCAGACCACCACCACCACCAACAACACCACCAACAGCACCGAAAACAACAACAACAACGACCACAATCACAACGACAACAGCCAGCACCAACACCACAACAACAGTTCAACAACGGTAGCAGCAGCGGCCGAAGCCCACAGCACCACAGCCACGACGACGAGAGCAAGAACGATACTGATGGTAACCGCAAGGCCAGGAAGCCCAAACCAAAACAAACGAGCTTGATGCTCCAATAGTTTTTTCGCAGCAAGGCAGGAACAGCGATAACAATGCCACCTGTAAGCAGGGTGCAGGTCAGTGCAGGTATAAACAACTGCGAATGGGCAAAAGTGTGGAAGTGGGCAAGAGAACAAGGAACCAGCAGAGGCACAGTGATCCCAATATGTGGCGCGTCTGTTAGTCATCAACAACTGCCGTGCACATGACGGCGACGAAGTCCAGATCTAGAGCACCATGACAACAGTTGCGATCGACCGAAGGGGTTAAATCGGTCGGGATTTGCAGTTTGTACTGGCATCCACGGACATGCGTGAGTGTCTGCTCTCATTGAGGGCGAGGCGCCATCACCAAGAACAACACCGACATGACGATCATCATATTAATCGTCATCGCCACCACCAGCTTCAGCATCTAGAGTTCTGCTGTCGTTGTGTGGCATTGAAGAGAAGCAGTCAATAGGCCAAATTGGCTATGATGGAGGTAGGCATTCATAGCATGACAGAAGGCCCGCATCTACTTTCTTTACATGTCCGTGTCCAGCCTTGCAAGGCTTGGCAAATTACAAGGGCGAATCCCAGCTTGAGGAGGCACAGCAGCACCTCCGCATGAAAGCTCATGCACATAGTTCACTCCAGTGGGTCATACCGAGGGCTCCGTTTCAACAGCCTGTAAGCCTCTATGCGCTGCTAAACCAATCCTAGGCTTGGGTCATGTGCTGCTGAAACTTCAGGCCTGAGGTTTGAGCTGTGCTTAGTGTGCTTGTGTGCTGGGGCCCCGGAATCTGGTCTCCTGCCTG